TGTTGAATTAAGCTAATTTGTGCTTCCAGTGGCATGGATTTAACATCTTTAGGCTACTGAATCATCATAGAGACCTCTCAGATCTCACTGCAAGAAGCAGTGGTGCAAGACAAGCAACACAATAGTGTTTGTGTATTTTCTGTAAGGGGTCTTATTTAGTGTACCTTGAACAGGGCAAATAAACATGACTGCTTGTTGCAGCACCAAGATGACCATTCAGAGTAGATATGTGTACATACATAAAAGCCCACTCTTCCTATTCTGTCCATTTAACAAGTCCCGTTAAATTAATCAGGATGCCTTATGGCATTTAAGATTTCTTCTTATTATCACTCCTTCACTTGTGGTAAGCCAATTCTCATTTTAAAAATTATAACTATATCAACAAAACTGGGTAATTTTTTCTTCTTTAGCAGAGGTCCTGAATTTATTACTTACACTTAGTTGTCAGCTGGGATATTCTGTCAAGATATTCTTTTGGCAGCAGGGACCCACAGCCAGAGCTGCTCCAAAACCTCTTGGCTTCCTCCCTGCCAAGCCCACCCATTTGCAAGGAAGTTGCAGCAAAACTTCCAGGTCCATGAAGCAGCTGGTCTGGGCTTCATCCTCCCCCCTGCTCACTGCAAGCCCAGGGCTCAGGCTGCCCCCAGAGCTGTGATCATCCCCCCCTTCCCTTCTTCTATCCCATCAGGAGCAATGCCTTGCTTCCAAAAACTTCCCAAACCAACATTTCACAGCATCAAAACTTGCCTGAAACTCCCAGATGCTCAGAAAAGGAGCTGGGGGGGCTGGGGTGGCTGCTCCAGCCTTCCTGCCACCCCCCCTGCTGCCCCCTCCAACAGGCTCAGCAAACCCAGACACCTGCTCCAGCAGAACCTCTGGCACTGCTGGGGGATCCCTGCCCTCCTTCCTGGGAAACCAGAGGTACCTGCAGGGAGAATCCCTGGGCAGTGAGGGCAGGACAGTCCCCCTGTGCCCTGGGGCTGTGAGGAGCTGTCACATCCACGGGCAGGAACTTGGGCTTCAGTTTGTGGATTCCTGTGAATTCTATGATTAAAAAAACCCCCAAACTTCTGAGAAATGGCTCCAGGTTCTCTGCCTCTGGGTGATGCTGGAGGTTCAGACTCCTCCTCTTGCAGGTTTTCAGCTCTTTTTGCTGTTATTTTACTTCCCTCCACCCTCTAAACCCTCTGAGCCCCTGTCTGCAGACACCAGCAAGGACCCCCCAGCAGGGCTCCTCACCCTAAGCCTCACAAGTAGGGATTTGTTGTTCTTTTAAAATTGTATTTAAAAAGCACCAGGATCTTCAATTAATTTTTTTTTTAAGTCAAGCCCCAGCTCAAGAGCAAATCCTCACACCAGAGAGCAAGAAAACACCATGATCCTCGTGGAATGGAAAAGTTGGCACAACTCTAAACGAGTGCTAGGAGCAGTGTTCTCAGCCCAGTCCCTTGCTGGAAGGTCCCTGCTCCCATGGCTGGGAGGAGGTGACACCACCAGGGAAGTGCCCTCAGTTCATCACCAGACACGTGTGAACGTGCAGAAGCAGCCAGGGATAAAAGCTGCCACCTCATCTCTTCCCAGAAAGCCACCAGCTGCCCTGGGCTGACTGCTTGGTGATGGTCTGCTTCTCCTCAGGGCTGAAGTGCAGGATGGTCAGGATGGCCCCCAGGGTCTGCTGGCGGCCCAGGGACTCGGGCAGGGTCAGGAACCTATAGACAATGTTCTTGAGGTACTCCAGGTTGGCTCCTTCCCTGCTCCTGTCCCTGCAGTTCTTCTCGATCTGGCCTGGAGCGGGTGACCCTGCATCTCCAGCTTGTGTTTCTGCTTCCTCAGAGCAACAATGTCCACCTCCTTCCGAGCCAGCTGCTCAGCATAGAGGATGAAGGTGGGTTCACTGCTGCTGGAGAGGTGAAGAGCCTGGGGCAGAACCTCTGAGGAATCAGGTCCTGCCGAGTCCTCGCCAGGAGCCTCAGGCCCTGACATCAGGTGGGTTTTG